CCCTTGACACACACACACACACACACACACACACACACACACACACACACACACACACACGGCGGCACCACAATTGTGCACACACGCACAAGAAAGCAAAGTCCTCCCTTTCTGCAGCCGGACGCCCGCCACCACGGTGGTCTGGCTGGAGAGGGATGAAGGAGAGGCAAAGCAGGGACGGCAGATGTCCGTCCTCAATTCTCACAAAGGCTGGCAAGCGAGGGGAAACGATGGAGGGGCGAAGGCAGAAGGAGAGGATTAAATACACGACAAAAAAAAAACAGCATCCACTAATGAGTCGTAGAGAAGCTGGTCCACTAATCATGACAATCCAGTCCAAATGTTTGGCCCGTATCATAGATGGGTACGTGTGTTCACAAAGAGAGGACCGCCGGTTTGAGGGATCCATATGCCCATGAGGTTTTTAGAGGGAAAGAGCAGATGATGAGGCAGGGTGCCGCGAGGCGAGGGGTCTAAAAGGAAGTGTGTGTGTCACGCTGGGATATGCGGCTACCATCCTGCCCGCGTCTTTGTGTCTCCATGTGTCCATCCTCATGTCTATGAGTTTGTTGTTTGGCTTTGTGTCTGTGTGTGAGAGTGTGTGTGTGTGTGTGTGTGTGTGTGTGTGTGTGTGTGTGTGTGTGTGTGTGTGTGTGTGTGTGTGTGCGCGCGCGCTCGCGCAGTCAAGTGGAATGGGAGGTGCTGCAGCGAATACAATAGGGGGCCTTCAGAGGTAGCTCACAGACAGTCAGCCCCAGTCGCCCATTAACCCTTTAGCTGGACAACGTCCAGCAAGTCTTTCGGATTGTCATCAAGACTTTAGTTGTTTGCAAAGCAATAACTTTGCCAAAAATCTCCATTTTGTGATTCTTCGGCAAAAGTTGTTTGAGAATCAGGATCAGGGGACTTGGTCGTGAAGTCGTCGGCTTAGTTGTTGAAAGGGCATTGCACACTTGATGAATTGTTTTACACAGACTCCCATAGGTTTTAATTCTGTCATCGCTCATTTTCTATTTTTTTTTTTTCTTTGTGTGTTCAACATAATATTTCACTACCTCGGGGTTGTCAAAGGCTTCAGTAGTAAATTATTAGACCCATGACTGCTGGGTCGAGTGGAACCTGCATGTCCTCTTTCTTTGGACATAAACATATGCCATATTCATAACCTCTGCAATAGGTCAGGAGGACGTAATTAAAAAAAAAAAATGTTTTTGAGGAATCCTGCAGGCCTGTAACCCCAACGTCAAAAAGATGGAATTTGGCATTTGATGAAAATGATGCTCGATTTTGATTGACAGTGTCAGAGCTGAGCCTCATAAGAACAGGAGTCCTGTTTCCAGTACTTCCTGAGCTCCCTTCGATGATACCCCCTGGACTGGAGACAATTCGATGATTGTGTGGTCCTTCCACCCCTGTTTTTTTGGGGGGGGCGGGGGGGATCATGGAGTTGTGTGGATATGGGGGGGGAGTAGGAGACAGGATATTACATAAGCTTCATTGACTGACTGTTCAGTTTCGTGAGTCAGCTGGATTTGCCTCACTTCCTTGATCCTGAATCTGTGTTAATTGACTGCCACTGTCACGACAGATGTTCCTCCTGGAACAGAAACGTTTTCACTTCAGTGAATGTCTTTGAAATGTTTTTTTTTTTCTTCTTCCCTGTAAATTGTAAATTTACGGGACAAATAAAGGATATCTTATCGTAAAACTGACAAAGCAAGAATCATCAAAAGCACCTTGGACTAACCAGTTTGGGTTTAATATACACACGTACGCTGCTGAGGCATATGCGTACACTTTGTACATCATGGAACGAAAAATGTACCTCTCGCTTGTACAAATTTGTCATTCAGTTTCTTTTTCCTTGCAGAAAATGCTGCTGAAAAAGAACTGCGGCGGAAAAACACGGACCATTAAGATTCGGGTGAGTTAAACCTTTAATATCAAGATGAACGTGAACAATGTTTTGAACAATGAACAATTGAGAGAAAAGGATCATCGTTCAGGTTATTCCTTTCAAGCCATGCATACTTGCAAATACATTCCCTTTATGCTGAACCATATGGAGTAGTCCATATTAGGCCGTCTGTTACCAGCAATGATAAGATTGCAAGTTTCAAATGCCCCCCCATGAACAGTCCAGCCTGTCTTGTCGCCAGCACCATGATGTCAATCCAGCTACATAGTGGGACTGCATCTGGCAGCAGTGTTTGTTCTCATGCCCTGCCGACGGCATCCGTGCTTGTGATCCCGGCACCTCTGATAGCGCTGATGGATTTCCTTATGAAAGTGATCCACAATAACAATTGATGTCGCAGCTTGTGAAAACACATTTACAAGGTACTTTCAAAGAACAAAAAAAAAAAATCTCACATAAAACAAGACATCATCATGAACACAAATATCTTGCATTCTTCATATGCCACCACCCAGTAATTGGTGAAATGGCTTTTTACAAAGGCTGTTTACAACTTCCAAACAGCGACTATTAATCATCCACCTCCGATAAGCTTGATCACCATGTTGGGTTTTAGATAGTAGTGCATAAGGGGAGCGTGCTGGAGAAGCACAGTGGACCGCTACTTGGCATCGAGCGGGCTATTCCAGAAGGATGCGCAGTGTGGTGAGAACAGTGACGTCATCATCACCTTGCGTGGGATCGTGTCATTGGAACCTCATCACACAACCTCATGTTTAGGGAGAGCCATGCATGCACCAACTGTAACAGCATATCCAGTCCCCCCCCACAGTACAGAAGAGAGATGTATTCACAATCTGCATGACAAAAAAAAAAATGTAAGGGTTAACAGAAGAGTGTTGAAGAGACACGCAGCTGAGGAGGAAGAAGAGGACGCTTTTGCAGATCCCCCGTGTGTGATTACAAGGGATGAGGTCATTTTCCATTTATAGTCCGGCCGGCTGCTATCTCTTTGAGCTGCACCATTACCCAGAGCTATTGCTCATTCTTCTCCTCTGTTTTCGCTGGTGTAGTTGGAAGTGTTGTTGTCCGTGCCAGTGACGTCTGTGGGCACGCGCGACTGGATTTTCTTGAAAGGAGAACACAGGCATTTGGCCACAGGAGCCATTTGGAGGCGTACGTTAACTCTTTTCACCCTTTGTGCTATCGCAGTTCTCTTACTCTATTACTTCCTTTTTCATTTTCCTGCTCTGCATCCAGAAGAGAGATTGGATCTGGATGGAGGGTGGTTTCTCATCTTCAAGCATTCAAGCAGGGGAGCTGTTTTGGGTTTAAGGAGGTTGAAGAAGCGTATGTGTGGGGAGGGTGGAGGCCTGTTACATAGAAACCAGAGGAAAACTACAGTGGCTACTGCTGCTGGGGCCTCCTTGTCCCCGTGGAGGTGAAGAGGGAAACGGAAGCGAAGAGATTAGGCGATGAGGGCTTTTCAGGCTGCCGCAGCACAGAGCGGTGGCGTCCGGTTTCATGCACCGCAGAGAAATGTTGTGTCGGGTGAAGTTGGATGTGGGAAAGTATTGTATGGCAGTTGGGAGAAAAAAAAATACTCAGCATGGTTTTTCCTGTAGATATCATGCGGTGCTTTTGAGAGTCGGCGTCGCTGTCAGCTGACTTTAGGCAAGTGGTGCTTGCCGCACAGCGTCCTGCCAATCAAAGGGAACATAAACAAAACAACCAACCATTCGCCCTCACCTTCAATTAACCCGCTGGCATGTTTTTGGAATGTGGGAGGAGGCCAGAGTACTTTACTGTGAGGCAGACACGCTCGCTACTGGCCTGCCATGCTGCCTTATTTGCAACTTCACTGAAAAGGGTCTCAACAAAATATATAGATGTGTGTACAGAAGAAGTAGAAGAGTGTAGTATGCAACCATGCAGTAATACAGATCACAATCTCGCAGTACACAAACTGGTCAAAGAAATGCAAGTTAATACCACACGACTCCAAATGGTTGGCACTTTGAACTCTGCATGAGCCAAACCTTGTTCTTTGAGGTTATCTGACTTAGGCATGGGAATAATAAGCAATTTGTTCATTGTTGTTTAATTTCAAGAAATTGGAGTCAAACTGAATTGGCTGCGACTAGGCGCGGTCTAAGCCTGCTCACCTACATTGAAAAACAACAAAATGCCATCAGCCACGGGCAGTCGAGCTACTTCCAGGCAGGCCGCCTCGGAGCGGCATTATTTTGCTCAATATGCCAAAGGGATGCAAGAAGCAGTTCAGACAAGAGAAAGACATTACTGGGAGATGATCGACTGGCTTATATTTTATACTTGCATATTGGACATGACAGACTTCAGTCTTATACAAATTTGGAACACTGGTTCTAAGTAGGGTGAAATTTTTCTCGAAGACGGATAATGTCGAGCCCAGTCAATATGCGGCCACAAGATAAACTCGGGTGTTTAAATAGACAGGAGCTCTGCAATTGGAGAAACCAAGCAGCTTTCAAAAACTCAACTCAACTGTATTTATAGAGCACTTTCAGACAGCCATCGCTGCATGCGACCATATTTTCCGTACTATAAGGCGCACCTACAATGAATGGCCTATTTTAAAACCTGATTTCATATGTAGGGCGCACCGCATTATAAGGCGCATGGAATAGAAGCTATAATAGTGGTTGCAGTTGCGTTATGCATCCACTAGATGGAGCTACGCTAAGGTAATACAATACAATGCAGCTTTATTTGTATCGAGCTTTCACAACCGCTGCAGCTGTAACAAAGCACTTAACAGAACATTTAAAATACTCCGTCCAGAAAATCAGAATATTGATCCATATATATATATATATATAAAAGGCGCACCATATATATATATATATATATATAAGGCGCATCAGATTATTCGTCGCACTGTCGGCTTTTGAGAAAATTGAATACTTTTAGATGTGCCTTATAGTGCAGAAAATACGGTATATATTGTTCCTGAGCTAGTTTGTTGGAGTTGGTATTGCGAGGGGTTGTCATGTCACGAATTGTTAGTGTTTATTCTCTGAAAATGATGACTGAAATCATTGCTCGCCTTTACCCTCATTTTCCTTTTGCCGGTGTCAGAATGTACCTTCCAGTCTCAGAGTACAGTTAAACCTCGATTTTCAAACGTCTCTGTTCTCGACCAAATCGGTTTTCGACCAAAAATTTCGAGTTTTTTATGGCTCGGATTATGACCAAAAATCGGTTCTCGACCAAACTGAGCACACTTGAATGCACCACTTGACTCTTCTCGCCTTCCTTACACGAGGAAGTGACGCTTCCTCGTGTAGACGAGGAAGTGACGCTTCATTGTGTCGCGTTCCATTGTGAGCAGACGTGTTCAATAAAGATTTTTTTTTTACAAGAGCGTGGTTTCGATTTCGAACAAATCGGTGTTCGAACAGCCTTCTGGAACGGATTATGGTGGAAAACCGAGGTATTACATTACCACTGTGCATGTCATTCGCCTGGATGCATCAGATCTCTTTGAGGTCTTTATAATGGGAAATGGTAAGCATTGAGACATCCCCTCATGTAAAATGATATTGATCACATTGGAGTTCCTTTCTCAATCCACCTTCTGACACAACCTCCCCCTTCCGCTGGTTCCGGGGAAAGCGCTGCCTTATTGCCAAATTCAACAAAGTCATTTCCTGTCTGGAGCAAAATGACCAGGGCTAATTTTAGAGTGAGTGTTCACAGAGCCACCAACAGCAGGTTCCTGCTCAGTCTGCTATTCATCCGAAAGTGGAAAATAATTTGTCACTGGATCTGCAGTGTGAATTAAAGAAGAAAAAAAAACAGGCCAGTGTGGTCACTAGTCCATTTCTTTTTGCAATTGATTCTTATTACCAATACCATTGGAGGTTGTTTTCAGATTTCTTTTTAAGAATCTAATAGTACTGTATATCCTTGTATTGGCTTGAGGTGGCTAAGCAGGTCCTAAAGGTCAGCCGCCTTTCCAAGCGTGCAGACTTGTTACGATATGGGTGAATAAAGCGCTGTGTAGCTTTGGCATGAAGTGCAGAATTCTGTATGGCTCAGGGACTCATTGCTGAACTACGGATCAATGCCCAGATCAATTTTTGAACATGGCCATAACTCAAAAGGTTGTGTGTAATGCAAACAAGGTCATGCCGCCATCTGCAGAAACTTTATAGTCACTGCCGACAGGAAACTTGGTTAAATAATTGATCTGGCGTCTCAGAGCTTTACAGAGCGTTTTTGCCCGTCTAGCTAGACAGTGACACTGAGATCTTAGCTTAAGCATGAGCTGGTGTCGTGATAATCAGTCCAATATGCAAACGCATTTCTCTTTCTCTGTCCTCAGACTTTGACTGGCAGTCGCCCTCCACCCAGGTACACGTACGATCCCTCCATTTTCGCCTTCCGGTCTTTAAGCACAGTGCCCCTATCCGAGGATCCTCCCTGCTCTTGAAGAAACGACCCACTGGTAGATGAAGCCTATCACTCCTTCTCTCAAAAGAATGATTGTCAGGAAAACAGACATTTGTTTGCTGGTCCAACTATTGCACACTCAGGTATTCCCATCCTGTAAACAATGTCACTTTGATGATTACAAGTCAGCTTTTGGAGAACACAATGGCCTAATTGTAAAATTTCTAAGGATATTTCAGGTTTTTCTATGTATAGCTGAATATCGCCTGGGATTCAAAGAAAGAAGAATTTCTTGAGCACAGAGGGTGTGAAGTGACAAGTATGACCCTAATTTAGCTTTGGGATTGGATCGCCTTCAAGGGGAAATAATGCATGTACAGTAAGACAATCAAACGGTTCCAAGGTTTCCTCCTTCAATGGGATATACGGTATTGACATCTCCTCAGGTTATTGGTAACTTCCTCTTTCAAACAACGGTGAGGTGGGGCAGCCGGTATCCCAATGTTTAGATGCGAAACGTCACCTTTGCCTACCTGGAAAACAACTTCTATGGATGTGTTATTCTTTGAATATGCAGGTCTTTAGGAGGTACACCATGTGTCACTGTAGTTTAATCTAGCCGACCTCTTGATGTACATTTTTCAATGAATACGCCATTGTTAGTCTGGGTCAATGTACTTGTATTCTCTTTCCTTGCATGAATTCCAGGGTTTTGCAGAAAGAGAGGTACGCGAGCGTATGGAGTCAAGAATAGTTTGCTGCACATTTGGCAAGTGTAATTGGTGCTGTGTCTTGCATAGCCAACATGTAGTGTGCCATTTTATTTTTCAATATTGTACCTCATTACTTTTTAGGTAGAAGAGGACCACTGCTATGTCTCTTTAATGCCTTGAAATAAAAAAACACATTCCTGTTGTGTTGAATGAAAGTTGAGGTAGGTCTCAGCTCATGACTCGAGCGGATGAGTTGATTAAAAGCCAATGTCGGACGCCACTGTAACTGAAGATTTCGCTGAGTTGAATGTAACATTGTGACACGCTTGTCATCCCCTGTTGCACAAAATGAATTAATAAATGTTCTGTGGCCTCTTGTTTAAGGGTGATTCTTATTTGTCAAAGAAATACTCAGGTGGACATTCCCAATGGGAAAGACTGCCCACAATTCACTGCAGGTTGAATCTTAGGAAAAAATAAAACCACCACACAAGACCAACTAATAATCTAATGAAGACATCGCTCCGCAAAATTAAATACAATTGAAATATGGATGTTATTGTGTACTGTATTTAAGGAACATATTCTACATGCATTTGGAGTATTGTTTGACACACGAGAGTCCAGAACAGCCCTCAAAAGAAATTAAAGGTGACCTCCCAAGGTCAAGTTACAGTGTCAGATCTCACCATCCTTCATTGTTTGAGCCAAAGTACTCTTCATGGGAGACAACTACAGGAAGGAGGACGCCACTGTTGAAAATAAATCACAAAAGAAAACTAAGCAACTGCATGTTGACTAAGCTTCTGGGAGAATGTCTTATGGAGAGAGCTGACAAAACTGGAACCTTTTAACATGGTAGTGTACAATCAGCTCGAAGTTCACAGATGCAAAAATGAAGCGTATCAATAAACAAACACCGTTCCTACTGTGAAACAAGGGGGAGGCTCTGTTCTTTTATGGGGTTGCTTTGCTCTATCATAACCTGTCTTGAATCTGTGTAGGGTACAATGAAATCTAAAGACTATGTCAGAAAGTTTAGTTTCAGTCACCTCCTTGGTTTTGCAGCAGGATAAGAACCCAAAACACAGTTAAAAACACCTAAGAACAGCTAAGGGCAGAAAACTTGAGTATTCCGAAGAGGCCTTCAACGAGCCCTGATCTAAATTCTCTTAAACATCTGTTGAAAGGAGCTGAAACATACCATCTGGCGAAAGCACCCTGGAGCAGTTTGTTCAAAAGAGTGCAACAAAATACATGCTGAGAGGTACATAAGTCTCATTGAAAGTTACAGAACTTGTTTCATTGCAATAATTGCCACAAAGGTTGTGCAACGAAATTTGAAGTTATGGGTACCAAAGTTTTTGTCTGGGATGTTTCATGAGTTTTTTTTTTTTTTTTTTAATAATTCTGTTTAACCCCAATTTTAAAAAAGCACTGCCTAATTTTCATTATTTGTTTTTACTAATGACAATTATCTTCCTCCCCCGCCATTCTTTCATTATTATTTTCTCTCATTAACAAGAGGGGTACCAACAATTGTGCCCATTCGTATTTAAACAATTTTATACAATCATAGTAGTGAATCAAACCATTTTTTTAATAGCGCTTGTACTCACAGCAGGTAAGCGGCAAGACCAAAAACCAATAGTGAATGCCTGTGACCTTCGATCCCTCAGGCAGCACCCCATTAAAAAAAATAAATAAATAAAAATGGAATCAATTAATGTGTAAAGGGTATCACCACACAGGCTAAGGAACACTTCAGAAAACCACTGTCAGTAAATACAGTTTGGGACTACATCCTTAAGTGCAACTTAAAACTACTATGCAAAATAAGAAAAGGGTTCTGTGGTCTGATGAGTCCACATATCAAATTGTTTTTGGAAGTTGTGTCCTCCAGGCCATCGAGGAAAAGATCATCCGGACTGTTTTGGACACAAAGTTCAAAATCCAGCATCTGGGGCTGTGCGAGTGCCAATGGCACGGGTAACTTACATATCTGTGAAGGCACCATTAATGATGAAAGGTGCAAACAGGTTTTGGAGAAACATATGCTGCCATCTACGTCGAAGCGAGACAAGGCTAAAACACATCCTGCATGAGATTGCATGAGATGAAAGTGCGGGTACTAGATTGGCCAACCTGCAGTCCAGACCTGTCTCCCACTGAAAATTTGTGGGACATTATGAAGCGCAAAATACAACAATGGAGACCCCAGACTATTGTACAGCTGAAGCTGTACATCAAGCAACAATGGGAAAGAATTCCACCTACAAAGCTTCAACAATTAGTGTCCACAGTTCTCAAACATTGATTGAATGGTATTAAAAGAAAAGGCAGTGTAACACAGCGGTAAACATAACCCTGTCCCAGCTTTTTCAGGAATGTGTTGGATCCATAAAATTTAACGAAAAAGTTACGTATTTTAAATTGTTTTTTTGTGCATGCAAATACTTTTGTTTTTTTCTACTTTCTCCCTTTCATAATTTTTGCTCCTGTAAATTGTGAATTTCTCCATTGTGAGACAAATAAAGGTGTTTTTCTTCTTCTTCTTCTAATATTTGCTATGCACAAAGTTTATCAGTTTGATCATTAAATATCTTTTCTTTGTAGTAATTTGATTAAATGATTGATTGAACATGATTTGCAAATCATTGCATTCAGTTTTTATTCATGTTTAACACAACGTTCCAACTAAGGTGGAATTGGGGTTTGTACTTGTAGTCAGCTCTTGGCATTTGCAGTTTAGGTCAAGTGGGTTAGCAATGGACTAAAATTAGACCCTTTTCAACCATTGCTAATATCATGGGACCATGAGCGTCAAATCATTTCGCACACTTTTATGAACATATTAGTGTACATACACTTACTCATACACTACAGAAAATGACTCCACATAGAAGACAAGTTAGCTTTGTGTCTTATTTTAATCAGCAGAATTATGCTTTGACCTAAGTGACCTTATGTAAGTGCCCCTAATAACCCCTAATGAGGTTGCTTAAGCACACCAAGTGGCTCTGTGACCACTGCACTGGCTAACCGAGTGTGTCGTGCTGTGGTTTAATCGGTGGTTGATCACAGTTTAAGTGTATGAAAAGAATCTGCAAGGTGGGGGCACAAATGGCTTGTCCTGCGTGTTTGAAGCCAGGATTTGCCAGGATTTGGTAATCATCAGTTTGCACAGATGATTACCAAGTCACAGCCACATCTTGACTGGCAACACAACAAGCTTCTCTGGGCCAGATCATACATGCGTGCGTTTTTTTTTGTTGTGTAATTGATTTGTGAAGTTAATGTGAAGTGTGTCAAATGACCTAGCCAGCTGTCGACAGACATTTTATTGTGTTTATATAACGAAATACAATGTAAAAGTATTGACTTTGTCACCGGAAAAGAAGCAGAGAATAGCTGCAAACCAAATGAGCAGCACTGAGTGGGAATCCTACATAAACGCTCAACAATGGCATCAGGACAATCCTGTTAAAAAGAGAACTTTTAGAAGGTCTAACCATGAGTGTGTGTGTGTGTGTGTGTGTGTGTGTGTGTGTGTGTGTGTGCGCGCGCGCATGTATCAGCTGACACACAACTCCGCTTACTGTAGCTTGAGTCATTATCAGCTTGCGTTTCATCCAGTAAGCCATCCAAGTGTCCAGATGGTCAGAAAAGCTGCTTCACTGCTCTCCCTCCCCGCTACACACTCTCTTTTCCGGGGGGTGAGCAAAGCCAGTGATCAAGTAGAACCAAATAGGGGAGGAATAGAGACTGAATGTCAGGTGGTCTGAAGTGAAAGAGGATCAGCATGAGACAAGGGGAGGGAAAAAAAAAGCTGAATTCAGTTCACTTTGTCTTAGGCTGCCATTTTCTTCTTTCTGCTTGAAGGGTGACAAAGACGGAACCTAAATCTTGTGCGTCGGGGCCGAAAGGGTCAAATGCCTGCATTGGCAACGCTTGACAACTGGGACCTCTTTTTTGCAGATCATCTTCAGCCAACATCATTATTTGAAGCTCAGTGTTGATTTTGATTCCCTCGTGGTCTCTCATGAGCTTGATCATATCGTGTGATGGTGCCGGACGTGTAGGAGCTGTTGATGTGTTGGGTCAGATATGACTCGATGACAAGGGGGCGGGTTTTCCACTCAGTAGCCATACTTCTCATTAAGATGGGTGCGGCCATCTCCAGTCTGCCCTAAAAGAGATAAATATGGCAGATATTAATTTGGTGTCTCTTGACTTAAATGACAATAAGCAATTACCAATGAGGAAGCCATTTTATGCAGAGAGATATTGTAAGCAAACATGGGCGCTTTGGGCACATGCGGTCCATTTTCCTGTCCAAATACTTCAGGCTGTGTTGCCACCGTAGAAAGGGACTCATAAACCCAGGACCCCTTCCACAAAATTTGGTGCGACTATTAAATTGAGCTCATTACCGTATTTTCCACACTATAAGGCGCTTCGGATTATAAGGTGCACCTTCAATGAATGACCTATTCTAAAACTGTTTTAATATATAGGGCGCACCGCATTATAAGGTGCATAGAATAGAAGCTACAATAGTGGCTGCATTGGGTTATGCATCCACTAGATGGAGCTACACTAAAGAGAGTGCAATTAAATACAATACAGCTTTATTTATATTGAGCCCTGGCTACGGTTGCACTGTGCATTCACTGGATGGGGCTACGCTCAAGGGAATACAATACATCTTTATTCATATAAACCCTTCGCAGCCGTAACAAAGCGCTTTACAGAACATTTAAAAAACTACGTCCAAGAAATCTGAATAATGATCCATGTATAAGGCGCATCGGTTCATAAAGTGTGCCTTATAATGCGGAAAATACGGTAGTCCAGATCATTGGTGCCTATTAATATGCACCATCAGTATCTTCTTGCCTCTTGAAACTGTTTGTTCGTTATGTGTGGACCTCATTGTGATGTGATCTTTGGTTAAAATGTAACAAGCCGAGGTTCATTCAGACAGATCAACGGACTCCTCGTGTCCAATTTAAAGTCAGAGCTTTGCTTCAAATGCAATACAAGTGTCTTGACTTGTGGCTGTGGAGTGCAGTTACCTGCCGGCGGCATCCAAACACAGTAATCGGGGTCGTCCTGTGGATACTGACTCGAGAGCTGCGCTGGTGGCTATGGACACACATCATGAGGCAGTGTTATATTATAAAAATAATATTTGATTTGAAAGTACTTTTCATAGTACTCAAAGACACTTTACAACAAGAATTGAGCAACATGGGATAATAACGTCCATTTTAAAGCAACATGTATGTATGTATGTATCTATGTCACATTCACACTGTAAATGAGCCAGGGAGTTTTCAAAGTTGATCACTTTTCATGGGAACAAAGAAGAATTGAAGATTTAAACCAGAAATACATTAGAAGTGAATAGGAATTTATTGGAGTAGACAGAAACAAACCAGGAATTTACGGAATTGAAGGTTGGCTCTTAATCGGGAGTTTTGGGGGGAGATATATTTTAGTATAATCCTGATTAAAATGACCAGATTTCATACAAGTGCAGTGGTATGGTATCATTCCCATAGAAATGGTTTCATTTGAAAGTTTAGAAAAATAGCCAGACTTAATTCCTGTGGAAATCGACAGGAAACGCTCCAAAAATTTCGTGTCACTTTCCACCTCGTTGCAATTTTTTTATAATGACCCCCTACCTTGCCCATGCCTTTCTTTTTCTTTTTTGGATTAAGATCCTCATCACCCTTGTCTCTGGATTCTGTTGGGAAAACAGTGAGTTAAGACCTGATTGTCAAATGTCAGGAGAGCATCAGACTCCATGCGGGAAACAACAAATCTCACCGGAAGATGGTTGGTCGTGGTTGGACTTGATGTTCTGATGAGGAAACGGGTTCCCCGTGTCGGTACAAGCCGCGCTTTTCCTCTTTTCAGGATTTTGTTCTGCGATGAATGGGGGGGGGGGACAACACATTACATTATAAGGATATTTGAAACCTGTTTTAAAACTGAAAAAATAGGTCCAACAAATTAGAAAACATCCGCAAATTCATTAAAGACTGAGGCAAATACATTTCAGAAGTCCAATACCTACCTCGTTTCAATATCAAGCTTATTAGTGACATTCAAAATTAAATCATGACTAATTCCACTCCCTGTTTAGTGGATCAAAACCACAGTTTCCGTTCTGGAATTACACTACTGTAATAAACTAGTTTTCCCACAATATCTCTCACTTACTTAGATGCACCGAGATGTTTTTAATACTGTAAAGTAATTGAAAAAGTATATCTTTAGGTGTTGGACGCATGCATTGCACCGATAACTAGTACTGTCACCTAGTGGCATAAATTCTGAATGGATATTTTCCGAAGGAAGTTGTGGCAGTTGACCTTTCAGCTCCAACACTGATTTTTCTCCTTTCTGTCCTGAAGTCGCTTGAGATATGAGGTCATCGGCCTCTAACGGATCAACATTCATCTCGCATGGTTTATTTTCATGATCCTCCTTATTTTCAGCCATCTCCGGCTCTTCCTCCCCCTTTTCTTCTCCTTCCTCCTCCTCCTCCTCTTCTCCTCCTGGCGGAAGTTCTTTCATGTTAAAGAGTTCAGGAGGCAAGATGGGCTGCTTAGGAGGCAACTTCTACAGAAGAAATGAAGACTTACGTTTACTTAAAAAGAGATTCGTGTCATATTACATTTTGGATTTTTTTTTTTTTTTTTTTTAAACACACCTACCCCAATAGTTCCAGTCTTCAGCTTAAACTTGCATCCTCCCTTCATGGCTCCAAAAAGCGGCAAGACTTTCTTCGGTTTCTCAGACGTTGAGCTGCCACTACAGTACCAAAGTATGTTCAAGTTGTGTTCAAAAACAGCATGAGTACTGAAGTTCCATTGATATTTCATGTTTTAGCAATGCTATAATGAGCACCTCTAACTACGGAGTCAGTGCGAATGCAGACCTCCACCAAGGCTGAACTGTTAAAGGTTTATCACAACATGTGGAAATTTGTATTTTAACTCTTCCATTCCACAAGGCGTACTTGTACGTCTTTTTAAAATTAGGCACCACCCACTAAGGAGTACTTGTACGTCTAAGTCTTTTTTTTTTTTTTTTTTTTTTTGCTCATAGAGAGGAGGAGGGTATGATGCAACCTGTGAATGAGAATAAGCTGTTTGCATTGTAAATCATGTAAAAAAAGCGACCAGTAGGTGGCAGTGGTGCCTCACGTGCTTGAAGTACATGCTTTTACAAAAAGCTCCTTTTCTCCGTTTTTTGCCCAGGAATCGCCATTTTCATGAAACTTAGCCATTTTGTAATGTCGATTGCTGAAGAATGGAAAAAGATAGAAAAAAAATAGTTTCTATCTTATATGGACTCTATAAGAATAGAGTCCAAACTTTATTTTGGTAGGCTCCATGTTTATATAGCATTAGAACCAACTATTCTGTGGGCCTTGCAAGATCAGTCAAAATCCAGTAAAACGCTGGGATTGAGGGGGTTGCTCCAATGAAAATGGCTGGGATTGAATGAGTTAACAGATCGCCTGTGCCATTATGATTTTTTGGAGGTGTAGGGGGATGGTTGACTGTTTCATTGTACTGTATACAACACATCTTTATTTATGAAGCACTTTCACAATCGCTGCAGTTGGAACAAAGCACTTTCCAGAACATTTCACATAAAATAACGATTCAAATTAAAACAAAGCCAGTGGTGAGCTAAGACTGTTGTACGGTTGTGTAATCTATTTCTATTGACGCCGCAACCACTTGAATGAGTCACTGATAGAGTAACACAAGAGGAGACTTTTCACCTGGGTAGCAACGAGGGAAGCTGTGAAGGGCGAGTGAGTTCCACCAATTTGCGCAGCCGCTGGGCATCTTTTCGGAGATCCGCGATGTGCACATGCAGCTTCCTGCGCTCCAGGGCATCCATGGTCGCATCGCTGCGCACAGCGGTCATGAAAGCGTCCAACGGGTCATCGGTCGAAGAACCAGAAGAGTCTGGTGAGCAAATAGGAAGACCGTGTACAAGTATTCACAGTGCTTCATTTTACGGACTGCTGTTTTTCGATATCTCACTCTCTCTCTACACACACACGGAGAGAGAGAGAGAGAGAGACCGGGGGTCACCAATCTTTTTGAAACTGAGAGCTACTTTGTGGGCACTGATCAATGCGAAGAGCTACCAGCTTGATCCACCCTTCTGAAATAAGACATGAGACTTTTTCTGAAATTACTTTTCATAATGTTGCTGTAAAAAAATAATTAATAAAGAAAGAAAGACAGACAGAAAGAAAGAAAGCCTGTTCAGAATAAGCGGTGTTGAAAATAGTCGGGCGGATGGATAATGTTGCTGTTATAAATTTTCATCTCACGTCTCATAATTAGGAAACACTGATATCAAAATGCGATACTTTGTTTCTATATATCTCTGTTTACATTTTCAAATTACTTACTTTTACAACATTACTACAAAATCACAATGTCCCATCACTGGTGAGCTGTTTTTTGAGAACAGGCCCACAGGCTACTCATGTGGGGATCGAGAGCTACTTGGTGACCCCTGATGTACACACACACACGCACGCACGCACGCACGCACGCACGCACGCACGCACGCACACACACACACACACACACACACACACACACACACACACACACACACACACACACACACACACACACCCTTCGTTTTGATTCTGGGTTGCAGGTTGTTGAGTTTTTGAGGGGTAAACGAAACCTTAAAGTCAGGCAATACAAACAGTGGGAAAAGTGGCGCTTTGTGAATACTTTCCAGATGCGGTGTCCACTTGAAAAGAACTCACCTTTCCCAGGGGTGCTGAGCTTTTTCTGTGCTTCTGCTACCTGCTTCTCTACCTGTGATAACTTGACCAGCTACAAGAGGAAAAAAAAAACATGTTTCACATGTGGGGGGGAAAAAAAGCAACCAATTTGCTTTTAAATACACAAAACCTGATGAAATCGAATTGAGCAGCTGTATCAATAAGACAATAGACAGTTCTGATGATTATTGTAATTGTATTAATAATGACGCACTGCATCACATGGAGACACTTATCCAAGATCTTATCTACCCTAGTTCGCTACATGTGACATTGAATGACACGGTTAGCTATTGCGTGCTTGCTGGCTTTACCAGTGACTCGTAGGTCTCGGTCCGCTCTTCAATCTTTCCTGCTTTTTTCATTCTTTCTTTCCTCTTCTTTTCAACGGTGCCCGTCCGGTCCAGGAAGGTGTCGTCGTCACTGTCATAGTAGTCCTCATCTTCCCAGTTCTTTTTCTTGCGCTTGCGGGACACTGCGTAGCCGAGCAGAGGTAAACTTGTTAGGATGCTCGGAGGGTCTTGAGACGATGCCTCGTAAAGGTTGAGCAGTGAGCACTCCCACCTGCTTCCTGGCGCAGCAGTCCTCGGGCTTCGAGCATGCGGCAGGCCTCGAGGCAGCACTGGACTGCCGCTTCTTTCTTCTTGCCCGTGTGGGTCACCTCGGCAACGAGCTGTCGGCCCAAGGCATCGTCCACCGGAAGCCTGGAAGACCGAGCCGCAGGATCATTCGGAATCTTCGCAAGCTTTCAGAGGCACAAATGAAGCCCACTTTCGAATTTGGTACATTTGCTTCAAGTACAAAAACGTTAGCATTTCTGTGGTTAAAGGTAGCAAAACGGCTGATCTGTACTGTACCACTTTTTGGCACCATTGCATTGGAATATCAACACCAAAATATGGATGCTGACGGACAGTCTCATCATCTCTGAAAAATGCAACTTGGAAAAGGGTGTTTTTCATTTTAGCTTCGTAGTACTTATAACGCTTGTCTTTTTCATTGAATTTGGTGTGACATAATGTCACACGATTTACAAAGATAACATAGCTTCAGCCACCCAATCGATATAGCCGGTGGTAAAAAGTAGGGCTCAAAGATTCTAAAAGACATTCTTCGCAGTATTTACTTTTTTCCCCCCTCAATATTGCAACTGCGATTTTTTTGTCATTATTTTTTCCCGGTTCCCATCTTTCTTTTTTAACAAACACAAGCAATAAATTCATCTGTTTTAAAATAAACAACATCAAATTGATAATACATAAATGCTTTGGTCTTGTAGGTTCAGCCTCAAATAAATGAACCGTTAATTCATATGAAAAACTGTTGGTTCTTTTTTTTTTTTTTTTAATGTACTTCAATTCGAGTTGTTAACTTTGTAAAAACTTTGACTCGCCATATCCTTTAAGCGTTCACGACAGCTATTTCACAAAATTCTGCCAAACAAATGTGCCGTTAGTAAGTCATAATTCAGATTGTAACAATAATGCAAACAAATCTGTGGCTTTATCACTTCAACTTTTCATGTTACATGAAACGACGTGGCCTGCACTTCTTCAGTGTTGAACTGATCGAGATGCTCTATATATATATA